CAACTTCACGCAACCGAGCAACAACACCAACCACCCCCGGCGACGCCGGAGCTTCCTCGACCTCCCTGAGCTTCCTGAGCTCCTCCAGTTCAGAATGCTTCACAGGCACGAACGAAGCGCTGACGCCAACACAACCATGTCAGCCCCCTTTGAGCCGACTAACACCACCCAGCTCGGACCAAACTCCACCCAGCTCGGACCAAACTCCACCCAGCTCGGACCAAACTCCACCCAACCCACCACCACCACCACCACCACGACCACCGCTGCCCCAACTACAGCCAAAGAGTACCAGATAATCTACAACACGGACCAAGTGCAGACCATCTTCCTGCTCATCCTGCTCGTCATCATCGTGGGCGAGTTCTTCAGCGCCCCTGCCGTCACCATCGTGGACACCGTCACCCTGCAGTACCTCGGCAAAGCCCGCGACCGCTACGGCCTGCAGAGGATGTGGGGCTCTCTGGGCTGGGGTCTGGCCATGCTGCTGGTGGGCATCTGGATCGACCACACACACGTCACGGTCGTGATCGATGGCATTGGCTGCATCCTGCCCGACTACCGCCTGCACAACTACCAGATCGCTTTCATCGTCTTTGGCGTGCTTATGGGTTTGGCGTTTGTTGTCGCCACTCAGTTCTACTTTGAAAAGGGCGACCACTACCGACAGGAGCTTCCAGAGGGGGTGGTGGAGCAGTCGCCAGAGTCCGGCTCCTCGGGCCAGAGCGGCCCCGACATCACTCAGGAGTTCCACTACAGCGACCTGTTGAAGCTTCTCTGCAGCGTGCGGTACAGCTCCGTGCTGTTCGTCGCCTGGTTCATGGGCTTCGGCTACGGCTTCGTCTTCAGCTTCCTCTACTGGCACTTGGAGGACCTGAAGGGGACGACCACGCTGTTTGGCGTCTGCTCCGTCCTGAGCCACATCTCGGAGCTCGCCGCTTACTTCACCAGCCACAAGTTCATCGAGCTAGTCGGACACGTCAGGTAACACAGACAGTGACATTTCATATTTCTAAATATCACACATATCTAGAGGGTTACCACTGTTTCTGAATACACGAGCCAATAAATCATTAAATAAAAGATACAATCAGAAATAAATCCACAATTATCTCTGGAAATGTTAATATTCAACATAATCAACAATTATCACAAATATCTTTACAACCTGCACTTTACATGGAGCGTAATAAAACCCTGTCCGTGTCATCACAGTAGATAAATGTCTCTGCCGCCTCAGAGCAGACAAAGCCGTCATTGACGCTCGGGGGAGTTTCAGTCGTGGTGAACTGGGGGCCTGGACCTCGCAGGCAGCGGGGACATTTGAGAGCGCGGTGTTAGGTGACGGTCGGCAGCTCGGAACCCACATCACTTAAAACACACAGCGCCTGAGGGGGAGGTACAGGGAGAGGGTGCATAGTTTGTGTAAGGATTTAAAATACAGAAATATTCTGTGTCACACATCCTGTGTTCCCTTTATTAGGTACAGCTACAAACATATCTCATCCAAAGCAGCTGATGTTTAAGCCGTGAGGTGTTTGTAGCTGCAGTTTGACACCTGACAGTATTCAGGATGTTAATCTCCCCCTGCTTTCTCTTCACGTCGTCACTCGTCAGCGTGCGAGGATGTGACGCTCTGCTTCCTGTTTCTCTGGAAACTGTGAACAAGAGCAGAAAGCATCTCTGGTGCAGAGCGGAGCCGGCTGCAGGTGAACAGTCCAGCTCCGGCACACTTTGTTTTCATCTTCCTGTCGATCATGTGACGCCACGTCAGTGAGTCGGGCCGGTGTAAAAATGCAACATTAGAAAAACTGGTGTGTGTGTGAGGGAGCAAACACTGAAACAATGTTATCTGGTGTTGAGCATGTGACCCGAGGGCGTGTCGGGTTCAGATTCAGGTTTGTCGGCTCTCAGCTGCTCTTTACTTTGTGTTCTCTGGACTCTTCAGCTGGAAAACATAAAACCTTAACTGATCCTGAGCTGATCAGTCTCTGGATTCATTGATCGTAGTCCGCCCACTGTTTGTAATGGGCTCTCGTAATGGATCAGGATTATTGATCGCTGCGTAATGTGAATAACCCTTTATATATTACCTCATCAGTTCTCCCATGATCCCACGCTGCTTCATGACATCATCAAACTAGGTCTTTTGTTATTGTTTTGAATGCCCCTAGTGGTCGAAGTTACATATTGGACATTGAAATTCTTCTTTATGTAAATTTAGTTTTGAGTCATCACTTGTTTTACGCGTCCTCACCGAGGACACTTTCCCAAAACTGTGATAGTTTGGTAACTCATCATCAGAGACATGAATCCTGTGTCTATATTCAGAAAGGTATGTTTGCAGGTGGATGCGGTTTTTAATATTTATTCAGGATCGGTGTTTTGTTTTGAAGCTGTGTTTGGTTTGTAATGAATCATTGTTCAGCTCTGCTTTAGAAAAACAAAGACATTCAAAGGCTCCACCTTGAATTTACCTCAATGTGGGGTTGTTATGAATGGAAAGGTTGCTGGTGCGATTCCTGGCTCCTTATTAAACTTAAACTCTCGAGACAATGATTCATAAAAATGACCCTGATATATTATATTAACCCTCCTGTTGTTGTCCTCCTCTGTCCCGGCCCCTCAGAGTGCTCTACATCGGCCTGGCCTGCAACACAGCTCGTTACCTCTACATCTCCTATCTGCAGAACGCCTGGACCGTCCTGCCCATGGAGGTCCTTCAAGGTAACGTCCGCTCATTTCTCCGCCTGCAGGGAAGGATTAGAAAAGCTAGGACCCTGGGGACAAGTCGGAAAGTGGCTGTGTTTGTTTAACAGGCCGCTTATCAGATGGCGTCTTTCCTGCGGCAGCCTGGATCACACAGGGCGATGAAGCTGGAGCTGCCGTTCAGACCCCGAGAGGAAGCTTAGAAAAAACGCACCCTGAGCGTTTACAGCACGAATGTTGAAACAGAGCAGTGAAGCTGAAGCTGTGTGTGAACACACTGACGGGCGAGGACGATCACATGATGTGTGTGTGTATTATTAATCGAGCGTGCCTGACCACGACCCAGTTTAACCTCTGGAGACGACACAAAGTGAACAAACACTACTACGACGTTTACTACATAATTTAAATGATAGTGTCTGATTACTTAATTAATCAATTTAGTATTTTGTCAGAAAACAGCAGCAGGTGCCTGTTGTAATTTCTTAAACTGACAAATTCAGTACAT